CGATTTTTGAAACGACACTTCTGCATTTGTTTCCTTTGGGTTCCATGACCTCATTGAGGGTCACATTGGTGTCTTAGAGACGCATTGTATCTCTAGAAACTGTTGTTTCACCTTTCACTTCCGCATTTCGGATCCATTATCGGGTCATCTTTTGGTCATCACTGATGCACCGGGTTTACAAAACTTGGGCTGTCACAGATTATCTCCCTTGAAAATCCAAATCAACCCCTAAATAATCCTTTACTTGATACACCTCCTTTAATGGAGGATCCTCTAAAAGCTTGCTTGGCTCATTTCAATTGTGAGGATTTTGATGTTGGCAATTCCATTTGGGAGGTAAATTCTTTGCTTGATATTCCTCCACCCATTCACTCTCTTCCTTGGGCAACATCAAATGTATCTCTTTCTTGGGAGCTTGCATCTCCTCTCATTCCCTCACTTGAGTTATCTCAAGTTGTTGAGCCCGAACCGCCGGATAAGTGTGAGAAGGATGTTGAAAGTGTGAAGGATATTTTTTCGGACATTCCCGTGCCAAATATGACCCTTCACAAGTCTTTTCTTGATGTGCCCTCACTTGATCCACCTTCCCATAATCCAAAATAGCCCCTAATTAATCCAAAGTTCTTCATTGAGGAAGAAGAGTGGGTTGAGGTCTTTCTATTACCTCTTTTCAAAATTTATCTTCAAGCTCTTTTTCCTCCACTTTTAATAGAACTTTCTTATTTGGGGAAGCATGACTCTCTAGAGAGACATGGTATAGGGTAATGCAGACTAATGAAAAATATGGTTCGTCTAGCTATCGACGTTAAATTGAGCACTCTTGGGAAGCAATTATTTTAACTTCCAAGCTTCCCTCTTCCACGTTGCCATAGCCAAGAATTTTCTGGAAATTCGCTATGTATAACCAAAATGTGAACTCTTCCAGAATTGTCTCGTATAGCATTCGATAAGTCACATTCAGTTTTCTTAGTCATTTAATGGTCTCCGTACCACTTCTAGAAGTATTCAAGGTCATTCCGGCATTTGTCTTGTCTAATCCAAAATTTAAAGGACATTCCAACCTTTTGGCTATCGCTTGTGCAATTGAGCGCCGACTCCAGTTCCGGCGGTTCTACACGGTGTCTAGGGTCCATTAAGCGCCTCCATTTCAATTTTGGAATGCGTCGATCCCATCTCGGCCTTTGTAAGCTATGATTTGCTGCAAAAGGAAGCTTCTAAAGTAGGCCTGCGGTGCCCGCCAAATTTTTGCGGGCGCCCACCAAAGCAGGCAACATGTTTATTAAAAAGGCCCCAAACAAGGCCCATTTCAAAAATCTAACTCTCTCTCTCTCTCTCAACCTGCGACCCCAAACCTCTCCCTTACCCTCTCAACCCTCCTTCCTCTCTTTCCATTCTTTCTCTCTCACCTCTCATCCCTCTTCATCATTCTCTCAATCTCTTATCTCTTATTCTCTTCCCTTCCAATTTGCACCAAGCAAGGAGGCATGGTTGGGCATTTCCATTTGGGTTAGTTCTCTTCCCCTCCACTTTCTCAAAGTTTTTGGTATAAATGGAGGATGGGATTGCATGTAGTGGAGATTTGTGGTTGATTTGGAGCTAGTGTATCTTGATTGCAGGACAAATTTTTGGGTTTTCAAGCACCATTCATTGTCTTTGTCTCTAATTTTTGCAGACTGCACACCACCTGCTCGACGAAATTCCTAACCCAACTTCATCTCTCTAAATGGCACCACTTTTGGCATTATTTTGTTATCCATTTTAAACTTGTGGCTAATGTGTGCAGATTTGTGTTTTGTATGGATTTTTATCTTTCAATAAAATTCATGTTAGTGTTATTATTTCTGTTTTGGTTTTTCTTATGAGATCTATGCTTTTACATGTGTATTTTAGTTGTGTCTTGACAGGTCTTCATGTCCAAGTTTGGGGGAACCATTTGCGCATTCACATAGATGGAAACCTTTGCCTTCGTCACTCCACTTGGTATTATTGTTCTTTTACCCTCTTTGCTCTTATTTTGATTTACTTGTCTTCACACATTGAGGACAATGTGATATTCAAGTTTAGGGGTACCTTTTGGTATTGCATTTTTTTTTTGCTTGCATATGTTAACTTGATGCATGTAAGTTGATAAAATCATTTTTTGGAAAGCAATAATAGTGTAATCTTGGAACTTGTTAGGGATTGAAGCATGTGTCTAATACTTTGTGTATAGAGGCAAATGATAATTTTTGAAACAAGAAAAATAGAAAAATTTGAAATGATCATGTTGATTCAAAAAGGTTTGTATAAATGCTTCAATTAGATTATTTTCGAGTATCACTTTCTTCTATGCTTCACACTTCACATATGCACACCGGAAACTTAATTGTGAGGCATGCAACCCGATGTACCTTGACCATGACTCATTTGATTTGAATTGATAACCCTAATGAATGGATATCTTTGGCATGAACTAAAAAAATATATATATATATAGAAAAGAAAAGTTGAATAATGAAAATGACTAGTTTAAATTCGTAGCCTTGCTGACTCGAGTTATTAAGTCCTTGGAGTGTTTTTACACTTAGCACTCTAAAGCCATCTAGTTTGGGAGTTGCTGGCCTAACACTTGCTACATGGGTTAGTTAGAAAGCTTAAGAGACTTAGGCATTGCACGGTCATTTACAGAAATAAAAATAAATAAATATAGTTCGTTGGTGTTCGTAACCTTGCTGACTCGAGTTATTAAGCCCTATGAGTGTCTTTACACTTAGCACCCTAAAGCCGTCTGGTTTGGGAGTTGCTGGCCTAACAATTGCTACATGGGTTAGTTAGAAAGCTTAAGGGACTTCGGCATTGCACGACCATAATATGTATGTAAATAATAATAAAAAAAATGTGTGTATTTTAAATAAATCATGCCTTAGAGACCTCATTTAAAAGGGAAATTCAATGATTTGAAGACTTGTGTTTTGAAATTGGAGAAATAAGGTAAAAGCTGCATATTGGGAATCTGGTTCACATTAACTGAAGCTTGAGATGATTTCTATTATAGATATGACAATTGAAGTATTTATATAGACTATGATGTTGATACATGAGAGTTGAAAGATGATTAGCCATTTTGTTCTATCAATGCTTCATATACATAAGGTAGTCTTCATAATGATTCCATCTCCAATGTTCTCTATGTTCCAAGTTTGAAAATGAGCTTTGTGCATCTTCATGCACCATGTTTGATGTTTGTGGGTAACATTCTTGTTAAACCCTCACGAGACTTCACTCGTCCTCTAGGGACGCCTAGGGGTTTAAAAGGCTTGTTGCATATGCTAAATGCAACCATCGCTCTCATAAAAGAGGAGATTTGTTGTCATTTCATTAAGTGTTTTAATTCTAGTTTTGCTAAGGGACTAGCAAAATGTAAGTTTGAGGGTGTGATAAGCGCCGAATATTGCATATTCAAGCACCCTTATTTGCATTAGTTAAGTCCATTATTTGATTATTTTATATAGATTATCTTGATTTGCATGTTTTTATATATTTTCAGGTTTGTTTCCCAAAAAGGAATAAAAATGATGTTTTGATGAGTTCTTGAATATCAAAGTGTGCAATGTTGTAGAACAGCCTAGCAGCAGTGAAGTTCAACTTTGGTCTTCATTTTAGACCCACCAAACTTGAGAACTAGACTTCCATTAAAGCATAATGTACTTATAGCTTTGAGTTAGCTTTCCAAATCATCAAACGGTTCGTCATTTGGAGTTCAGAGTAGGGATTTATGGCCTTTTTACCAAAGGTGCGCAGAGCTAAGGAACACCCGCGGGCGCCCGCCAAGAACCCGCGTGCACCTGCCTGCGCCTGCGGGCACCCACCGATCTATGGACAAGCAGGTATGGGCTTCACTTTTCTTCACCAAATGTTATCCCCTTAATTAGGGGATTGCTCTATAATGGTCGAAGGACTTTAGGACCACAAATTAGGAATAGATAGAAGGCTAAGGTTGATATAATAGAGGGGGGATACATGGTAAAAAAAGATCATCTCACATTTTTATAAAGTTGTAGAGAGAGAAAGTAGTGTTCTTAAGGGTTTGGAGTTCTAGCTTTCTTGATCATGAAAATGGAGGGTGGATTGGCTTCTTCTCCTTCATTCTTTGTTCCTATAGGTAACTAAATCTTTCTCTAGGGAGGTGATGAAACCCTCCCTTGTAAGCATGTTCTAGCTTAGCTTCTATTTTGGGGATAATGATGTATAATTTGGTCTCTTCATAATCTAGAGCATATTACTTGATGTAATGAATTTCAATGTATACAAATGATTGTTTTAAGTTAATTATCTTGTCTTAGATGGTTTCTTATCTCAATCATAATGCTTGTATTTTCATGGTGACAATGGAAATAAGATTGTGGAATGGTTTTCATGGCATGTTAATAGAGTCACTTGATAGTCCATTGCTTAGGTATTTCCTTTGATGGTTTATGCTTGATTCATAGTTTCATGTGCTTTATCATTTGATTAAAGGCTTGATGATCTTTTGCTTAAGAGAGTATGCTTGATACTACACCCTAGTTTAGGTAGTTCAAATGTATAAACTTTTGATGGATCATTCTTGTTTTTGATTTAATAAACTTCTTGATGATTATACGACAATCATGTGTTGCTATATAATTCATGACCATTATATATCATCTATCCCCAATTTAGTCTTGGTCTAGCATATGTATAGGGTTGAAGGTGGATTCACTTCCCTAGTCCCTTCTTTATTATCTCTACCTCTTTACTATATTGTTTTATGCATTTTAAATTCCTAAATTTAGTGACAAACCAACAAACCTCTATATACCCTTTCATCATTCTAGAAGTGATTCTAGACACCTTAGTTGCCACAAACTAGCAGTCCCAGTGGTTCGATTTACCTGACCAATAGCCCTATTTTAGAATGATATGTGCTATTGCAAAGGTTGATGTATAATTGACAACCGATCACAAAGTAACCCTACCTGGACTTTCAAGCTCTCAATAGCTAAATCAAAAATGGAGTAAGATGTCAATACTTCAAGAAAATACTACTTCAGCTACAACAACAACAATAAAAGAATGCAATACACAGCCTCAAGTAGAACAATGTGAAACCCAAGTCTTCACTTCTCTGCAATCAAAGGATAGAACTATAAAAGCACAATATAGCTTCACTTGATGCTCAAGCTAGGTTCCCACAGCCTTGTCTAAGTAAAATACACTTGCTTGAATGAATTCCTTAATAAGAAAAGCAAGGTAGACCAATGTAGATCACACTAGGCAAAAACCCTAAATTCAAGGGTATAGTAGTCACTTCACAGTGCAGCCATTAGAATGACCTGCAAATGTCTTCCACAGCTATCACAGGCTTAGATAAACTTGCTTGAGAGAGAAACTCGATGAAATCGGCAAGGTGAAGCAATGAAGAAATAGAACAGCCTTCACTCCTTTAAAAATCCGAAATATAGCCTCTCAATGGTGATACTGTAATGCAGCCTCAATTTCACTTCAAACTTTGCACCCTCGGTTAGTAATATATAAAGTACCCTTGCTCAGTTGATAAGAACAATTAAAACTACAAGGTATGACATTAAAAATCTCAGATTGGGCAAAACCCTAATTAAACCCTTGCTTTGTAGCTTCAAAGGGTAATTTAGTAATGTAGCTTCAAGGATAACCCAAACTTCACTCCCCCAATCTTCAATGGTTAGAATACACTTTTTCACATGTCAAACACATTAGGAATAACAAGGTATTGCAATGTAAGATCAAAACAACAATGTTAGGGTTAAAACCCTAGAACTGAGGTTGTCAAGGGTAAATCTGTAAACCACTCGAACCTTAAGCTAATTCATGTTCTCACAGCTTCATATAGTCAATATATACTTGCACACACAATATTCTCAATTTCCATAGTAAGATAAACACATTTCAGCACAAAATCAGTTACAAAACAACATAGCTCAGGTTCAGTTTTGAAGCTTCTGTGATGCCTCTATTAAGAGGGTATAATAAGTATTTCAAAATATCTCAGGGCTGGAATATACTCTTACATGTTCAATTCATCTTCACACATAATCTCAGAGGCAAAACACCACATGAAGTGTATCAAATTCAATCTCAAAAATAGCTTAGTGCTTGATTCTGCTAAAACTTGCTATCAAGGGGTAAAACTAGAAATTTGAGGTAGCTCAGGTCTGTAAATAAGTCCCTCAACCTAGATTTACAAAATATAACTTGCTTGGATGATCATTAACTCAGTTCTAGCAAGGTAATATAAAATCAATTCACAAAGTTGGCCTATTTAGGCTTAAAACCTTAGTTTACAAGGGTTTTGGAGGCTCAATATACTTTAGATCATTTTTCTATCTTGTACTTCAGATTGTAAAGTCTTAATTCAATATTATAGGCATGCTCATCACTTAAGACTTCATGTAGCATCAAAGAATCACATCAACAAGCTCAGAACAACAATAATACACTAAAAAATCAAATTGGAGCAGGTTTGAGATATGAAAAGTTATACCAGCTCAGGTGTGGCAATGCAAGTCTCTTCTGCAGATTTAAATGCCTCAAATACACATGCTCAAGCCTTGCTTTGATCACAGAAACAACCACAGCAATTTTAGACCTCCAAGACCTCCTTCTTGCACTAGAAATCTACAACATGTACCCTCTACTAAATCAGCACCTTCTTCATGATGAATTTAGAGAATAGATGCTGCTCAAATCATCAAGAAACCTCTCTAAAATCATTGTTAACATTAAGCTCTTGAGACCTCACTCTATTTTTCAGCTCAAAAACTCATTATAGGCTCTCGCAAGTGCACTCATTGTTGCTGCTACTATCATTGTGTTGCCCTAGTGTGGATAAGAGTGGGACATCATCCACCAATCATAGCTAGGTGTATAATCTGACATTATATACAATGAGTGGACTGAAATACCCCCTTATGCAGACCTGACAATACACATCAAAACACCGTTTTTTTTTTGCAACAAACACCTTTTTATTGCAGCCCTCAAGTGTTAATGTACAATGCTGATACATACAGCCAAAGAATTTCATTTATGTTATTAGCCTCTCTCACTAGGACCACTATGCATGTGGCACTATGCAGTGAGTCCATCATTGTACAAGAAATATCAATGTAATGCCAGAAATACCCTCTCAACAGTGTTGTATTTGCTGCCACTTGTGTGTGTAAATTTACACCATGTAACAAACACTGTGATGAAATATAGCACCTTAGGAAGAGTAATTTCATTGACACACACACATACATGTAATGACTGAAATACCCTTGTCCCTGTGATACTAATATAAAGAGAATAACCATGAATACTTTTGACTTGCATTTGACATTAAAGGGTATGAACACTTTTGACTTGCATTTAACATTAAAGAGCAAACCTCAACCAACAATCTCCCCCTTTTGCCTTTAATGTGAAAACCCCAAGAATTTTCCTCTTTTTTGACATTGAAGTGAAAAGGATTAAGGGCAAAACTGAGAGTAGACTCAGACATTGATCTTCAAATTAAAATTCTGAGTAAAGCATCAAAACAGGCCATCACCAAATAGTACTTACTTAAGAGAGAATAACAACAGAGAGAGATCAAATGAATTTAATAACTTCAGAGGAGAATCATGAATTCTTATTAAATTTTGAGTTAAACAGGACTTCAATAGACTTGAACAAGCAAACCTCTCTTAGATTACCAACAATCAAGACATAGTTAAAGAACATCAGAATTCTGTTTAAAACAGTTCTCAACATTGATTCTGCAGCAGCACTGATATGAGGTTAAACCATGTATTTCACCAACTATACAACCCTGGATTTTGGCACTTACAAATGTATATTAACTGTCTAAGCAAGCTCAGAAGAAAAATACACTCAGCACATCAATGTATTGCACTATCAACACCCAAAATAGCCTTATGAACAAGTGAAACTCAAACTGATGTGGTTCACATAATCAGAATTTGAACAGGTCTTTTCTCAGGCTAAATTTTAACATGGACAGCCTCCAATCAACAAACCACATATGCTCAGACATTGTAATCTTAACTCTCAGAAGAATAATCACATTTAAGGTTCGTAATCCATAATTAATAGCAGTAGAGAACTTAACACAACAGGTTTTAAGATTCAAATACTAATAGCATCAGTGATTTGCACTTAAAGATCCACATAGTATTTGTGAAATGATAAAACATAGATGCTCAAATGATAAGAGACATGAACTGAACATGGTGGTACCCGGACAAGGAAGATTTTCAGTATAAAATAGTCTTCACATCCAAATCTATAGAATTTCAGTTCATAGAGACAACCATGGAAACTTCACAGTAGTGCACACTCAACCTCAGGTCCAATATACATATATCATGCACAAATGGATATCATAGTTATGGCAGCATGATAAAATAGTTTCACATCACACCACAGATTGAAAACAATTCTAACCCTTATTATATAGAATCTAAACATAAGATGATCATTTTTCAGGTCAAGTCTCAACTTGATTAGACTTGAACTATTAAATCCGACACGCTTAGATCACGAATACACAGTGTATAAATCCTACTCCATAAAACATGAACTGTCATAGGAATAGAGATACCAAAAAATCACAGCATTGAGAATGTGAGATAAAACCTGTTTTTAGCAGTTGTAAGGTATCAGAGTAAATATATTTCAGCCTGTGTCCAGTGAGAAACCTTATCTCTGAGTGGAGGAGGTCTTAGCCCGTCAATAATACTACATTTTGTGATATCAAGGAAACTCCTAAACCACAAATGTTGAGTTGCAAAAGTTGAGTGTATAAAATCGGAGAAGAGATCAGAGACATTAACTTTAAAGGACTTAAAATTGCAAGGCAATGTTTCAGCCCTTTCTTCAACTAAATAATGAACTAATTTGTCTTTGAGAGGTGAAGGCTTTGAAGACCAAGTAAGATGATATTTAGACAATGAGAGAGATCTTTTCACACTTGAATCTTCTTGTAGAGTACCTTCCCAAGCATGATCAATTTTGTCAATAGTGAATCTCCTTGTTTCAACAGAAGTAATGATTCTTGAGTGAGCATCTTTAAGGCATGCACATCTTGGATTGGCTTTCAAAAAGGGTTTCAACATTTTGAGTTTCAAGAAGTGTTTCTTATCTTTGAGTTTAAGAAACTAGTTCTTTGTAAATCGGGTTGCAACAAAACAAGAGGGGGCTTTTGCAAGATTCATAGACTCATCGTGATAAAGGAGAATATATAAAAGTTATGGCGGAAGTTGATGTCAAGGAAGACTTGCTGAATTGCATGACTGTGGACTTTCATGGTTGTGACTGTGCTATTGATCTTAAGTATGAATGGAAACCAATAGTGTGTAATTTGTGTAAGCGCATTGATCATCTGGAAGCCCAATGTCCTCAGAAAATTATCCAGGCTAAACCTAAGAAAACTATTGATAAATGGGTGATTAAATAGAAAGAAAAACTGGTTGATGTTGTGGATACAGAAAAGGTGCTTGATATTTTTCCATAGAGGAAATCTCAAACATAAAATGTTGTTAGTGCTTCGAACGGTTTTGCAGTGTTGGCTTTGATAGAAGGGGTCAATAAGGATTTCAATGAGGAAGATGAGACTATTGCTTTAGCTACAAATTCTTCTAATGTTTGTATGATTGTTAAAGGAGATAAGGATGGTTTAGATTGTGATCAAGATAGTCCCTTGGAAGTTAATGCTAGTAATTCTGTGCTGCCAGTTGATACAACAAATAAGGAAATTATTACTGAGATTTCAGTGGAGAGACTACATGTGTTTGAAGACTCAATTACTACTGATATAATTCCTGCTAATGTTACTCTAAAGGGTACAACAGGTCCCATTATTTCACATGAGGATTTGGAGGGTGGTGGTGTTGTTAATGAAGGAGTCCAATAGGCGGAAATTGATCCTGCTCAGAGTGTTTCAACAGAAGATCAAGGAGGAGGGAAATCAAGACAGCGTAAGAAACCATTTATTCAACCTTCGGACAGAGTGACTAGAGGTAAACTGACTGGTAGTGGCACATTACCTCCTTCTCATTAACGTTAGGTGCTTGGAATGTGAAGGGGCTTAATAGACCCCCTATGCAAAAGGAAGTAAAACAATGGCTCATTAATAATCATTTTGCTTTAACTATCCTTGTGGAAACTAGAGTTAAGGAGGGGAAATCTGTTAGAATACAGAAAAAACTTGGATCTTAGTGGTCTTGGTTAGCTAATTACAACTCTAAAACTTTGGGAAAAATTTGGTTTGGCTAGAAAAAGTCTATTTTCAAGGTTATGTTGATTCAAGAAGATACTCAATCTATGCTGCTACAGGTTCAACATATAGGTTTTGGGAGCTATTTTCATGTTACTGCTGTCTATGCTGTAAATAGAGCTTCTGATAGAAGGGAGTTATGGAAATCTCTTAAAGTTCAAGCTACTAAAATTCAAGGACCCTGGCTTGCCTTGGGGGATTGGAATATGGTTAGATACAATATAGAGAAGAAAGGTGGATTGAGAATTCCCCAAAGTAGATTAGATGAATTTAATAGTGTTATTCATGACATCAAGATGGAGGATATTCCTATTAACAATGGTAAGTGGTCCTAGTGTAACAAGCAGAGTTTTTAGAGGAGAATTAATGCCAAGTTAGATAGGGTATTGATAAATGATAGGTGGTTACAACATTTCAATGATGTTAAAGCTTATCTCACTACAGCTTCACTATCTGATCATTATGGTTTAGCTGTTCAATGGCATGTGGATTGCTCTGTAGGTCCTAAACCATTTAAATTCCTTAAGATATGGTGTGACCAAAGGGAAGTTGATACAGTGATTGCCAAAGCTTGGGAGGTTACAGGTTTTGGAAATCCTTCACATGTGTTGCAGAAAAAGTTAAGGGCTGTGAAGGAAGCTGTCAAAGATTGGAGCAAGCAAAGAGGTACAGTCTCAGAGCAAATTCAAGTTGCTAGGGATAATTTACAGAAAATTCAAATGGAAATGTTGTGTGGTACTGTGAATGAAGATTATATTATTAAAGAAAGGGAAGCCTGTAGGAACCTGCAACATGTCTTGGCTCTTGAAGAGATTTTCTGGGCTCAAAAATCTAGAAGTAAATGGCTGAAAGAGGGGGGTAAATGTACTGCATTTTTTCACAATTTAGTCAAACAAAGGAGAGGGTTTAATGCTATTACTCAATTACAGGATACAATTGGAGAAAAGTTTGAAGATGCTAAGGTTATTAGAGAATGGTTGATCAAATTTTATACTGATCTCTATACTCAGCAAGGAGAGGGGATTCAAGAGGATTGTATTCCTAGGAAAACCTTAACTCTAGCAGAGAGTATGTCCTTAGATTATCCTATTACTGGTGAAGAAATCAAAGTTATGGTTATGAATTTTTATCCTGATAAAGCTCCTGGACCAGATGGGTTTCCTGCAAGGTTTTTCCAGAAATTCTGGGGAGCAGTTGGTCAAGATGTCATAGCAGCTATACTCCATTTCTTTGACTACTACCAGTTCCCTTAAGGAATTAATTTTACATTCCTAACTCTTATTCCAAAAGCTAATCATGGTGACAAGATAGCTAATTACAGGCCTATTGCTCTCTGCAATACAGTATATAAAATCATCTCCAAGATTTTAGAAAATAGGTTAAGTATGGTTCTGCCCACTCTAATAGGTCCGGAACAATCAGCTTTTATTAAGAATCGAAGGCTGCATGATAATATTCTTTTGGTTTCGGATTTGGTTAAGGATTTTGGTAAGAAACAAAGTGATCCTAGTATTGCTTTGAAGGTGGATTTAAAGAAAGCTTATGACTCAGTGAATTGGAAGTTTATTCAATAGAGATTATAGGCTCATAGCTTCAGTAACAGGTGGATAGGGTGGATTAATCAGTGTATCACTACTTCTAAATTCTCTATATTGTGTAATGGAGTGCCAGCTGGGTATTTTTGGGCTACTAGAGGGATCAGACAAAGGTGTCCCTTATCTCTTCTCTTGTTTTCTTTTGTTACAGAGTACTTTAGTACTTTAATGTCGAATGGGATTTAGTCTGGAGGTATTCATGTGTGTAAAGTTGTGGCTGCCACTGGTATGAATATTTCCCATGCTTTCTATGCAGATGATATTCTGATGGTGGTTAAGGCTGATATTTCAACTACAAAAATGTGGATACTGTCTTCAAAAAATTTACTACTGCCTCTGGTCTTTAAGTTAATCAAGATAAGAGTTCTATCATTT